ATATAGCAGGATTTTATTTTTTAAAATAGTTGTTTGTGGTCGGGATTCTTTCCAGTTTCTGATATTACAATAAAGTTGCTTCTCAGCCTGGAGATGTATCTCTGGATCTCAGAGAATATATTATTTATATGCTTTCCATAACCACCATGAACGCAAAGAAGATGCCGAGGAACATTTTTGCATCAATATGGGAGTTTCTCTGCCCTGTTAAGTTCCTGTTTATATAGGTGTTTTTGAATGATCAATGTCAAACATGGCAATATAAATAAAACACAATCAAAATTATGAAGTTTCTGTGAAGATGGCTGTAAGAATATGGGCATAACATGTTTAACCCATTTTTTGGAAAAGCTTGATGCCCATAACGATAATTTGGTGTAACCCTTATCAGAAATCCAGGGTATCATTTAGAGCAATAGATTACAGGACAAGCATATAGTTGAAATCCCTGTCCATTAAGGGATTTGATGAATTTAATTTTATGTGGAAATAATATCAGGCTGTGGACACAGTCCTATTTCCCATCTGGGGTCTGTGTTTCCGTGGCAATGAGATGATTCAAGTCTGGGAGGCAAGAGAGGATCTGCTGGGACATTGATGCTTCTTCAGGAGTTACTTTCAGAAAAATCTCGCCCTTCTGCCAGTGTCTGTTTGGGTCTTCTGTGACCTTGAGAATGCTGTCACCGTGTCCATCCATGATGGGGGTCCCCTAGGTTTTTGAAGTGACTTAAATTGATTTAACATCAAGATACTGGAAACACTCTGGCTGTCACTTCCCTCAGATCATCTACAGTCTTTAGCTGCTTGATGGTACCAGGTGATTTCAAAGCCTGTTAGTTAAATGTTCTATTATATCACAGTTCAGGGTACAGACAAATTGGTTACAGCCTTGAGTCAGTACATGGGAGGAAAGGTCACAAACAGAGTCATATATCTGCTCATGTGTCACCATCAGTAGCATAGTCCTGGGGAACCTGGGAGGTGGGACATTGAGAGAAACCAGTTTTCAGGGGTCCATAGAACAGAGGTAGAAGGACTCTATCCCATGTCCACCTTCCATTGAATGTGCATATATTTTATTTCTTGAATGTGTCCTTTCCCATGTTGTGAAGTCATTCCTGAACCAAAGCCTCCATCACTTTTAGGTGATGGAAAGTTTCTTGATTTGGGTTTCCATCCTGAGTTGTACCAGCTTTCATATCCAGGGACTGAGACACACACCTGACACCTGTCTGGTGGGACAACTGTGCATGGTGTGGCTCTGACTCAAACAACATATGGTCATCAAATCCACAGTCTCCTGCTATGTTTGAGAAAACAGAGTCCTCAAGGTAAAATTACACAAACTCTCAGAGATGCATGGACTCTGTTATCCAAAGTAACTCCCACTGGCACTGATGGGATTATGGTCCCATGCATTCTGCTCTGGGGACATTTAGAAAAGGTTCAGATATCATATCTATCCTAAACCAATAGAGTCATGCTGCCTCTCCACTCTAAGTTTTTGACAACTTCTTTTGACTTTTAGTAAATTCAGTCTAATAGAAAAAAAATTTTGACCTTGCTGGATGAGACAAGGACTTCTGTTCTGTCTCTAGATCCCCCAGTTTCCATTCCTGAGTGGTTCCTGTGCATCAGGAAGACTGCCGACTTGCCATACCAT